TGAGGGCCACGGTGGAACAGAGTGAGGGCCACGGTGGAACAGAGTGAAGGCCACAGTGGAACAGCATGAGTTTGAAAAAGGTGGCACAAGATCAGATCAAGATTGCTTTGGAGACCCAGTAAGGGGCTTGGTTAGATTTCATCAAAAAGCTATAGTAAACTATTGCAGGGAATTTGAAAACAGGTGTGACATGGACTGATGTATATTTTCAAATAAAATCCATGCTGGTTGGGAATCAGAGGGTCAAGTCAATCATCTAGGGAAGTGGAGGATGGGGGTGCAGGAAAAGCACCACCTCCATGCACTAGCATTCTGTCTCCCTCTGAAAACACCTTCTGCCAAAACCTTGCCTTTTGGTGCCAGTGCACAATTAATCACAGCGCTGTATCCTGTTATCTAGTGAGAAGTGAATTTGAACTGGACAGAATATGTGGTTATGGGACTGCCCGCTGCCGGAAGAAGTGTCAAAACCAAGAATACAAAATTGGAAGATGCCCCAACACCTATGTATGCTGTTTGAAGAAATGGGACGAGAGCTTACTGAATTTTACCAAACACTGAAACGCAGTCGTGCTGGTCCCTAGAGTCCCTGGAAGCAGGACCTCGGTGACTTTCCTTCCTCAGGCTTTGCAGCAAGGCCATCCCCAGTGCAATCACGGATCCTTATCAAACGAGGTTTGCTGAGCTTCCCCTCAATGCAAAGCCAAGCCAGGAGATCGAAGAAGAATACAGGCTGGAAGGCCGCCTCTGGTTGTGACAATGGAGGACAGCAATGCAGATGAAGCATGAGTTTCAATGCCTTACAAGTTGAACAAAAAAATATATCTACCTAATCAGCTGTAAACCTAAGAAAAACATCATTTTTATCCTAATACTGGTTTTCTTTTCTGATCAAAAGTTTTGCTCAACAGTTACATATGTCTATTTTAAATTAAAATGGAACTCAAATCAATGTTCAGTGTGCCTTGTTTGGAATACACTATATTTCAAAACATCGACCTCTGTGGAGAAAAACAAAAGAGGTGATGTGTGTTGACAAGCTTGGGAACCCACTGGAACTTAAGGGGTTGATCAAGTGGGTGTCTGTGGAGACGCCCATCCAGCAGAGGACAGCAGAGAGCAGCCCTGCGCCGAGCTGTGGCTTCTTCATCCTGAAAGCTGGTGAAGGGGAGTGATAGAAACATTCGACCTGCCTGCCTTTCCAAACCAGATTTTAAGGTAGTCAAAAGCTTCTCTCCTTAAAAGTAGTGCAGCTAATGAATGAGGAGTGTCGCCATTTTGCAAACACGCAGGGAAACAGGGATCTAGCTAAGGAATGTCAACAGTGATTAAAATAAGCCAGAAAGAAACCTGCTACCTGTGCCTCCTAATAGAAGGACATAATGCCACATATGAGCTTCTAGTCCTGGTAAGAGGCATCATACTGACCTTTTCAGGGTAAAACGGAGGCTGGATTGTGCCCTTTCTGCCAAAACAGCATAATGGCCCTTCGCGTAGCCATCACCCGGCCCCTATATGGGGTTAGTCTTGTTTCATCCCTTGGTGAGACCCTCTCCCAGATTATCTCAAATAAAAAATAAATTATTTCAAAGATGCCCATTTGAAAATACTTCAATCAGGAGGAAAACAACTCATTTTGTAAAACAGAACCGCAATACTATTAGGCCCTGGAAAAAAATCAGCCCTTGTTCTTTAATACAATTTAACAGCCAATCTGTGTTCAAATGACCCTGAGAATTTTATAAGTGCCTTTTAAAGAGTTGCTTTATTAGAATCTGGACCCTGGAAGGTCCACACACTGCCTTAGGTTGTTTTCCTCCAAGGCGTCTTACGTAGATGGTGATGTGTATTTGCTATTCCATCTATAAAATATTGTGTTGAGTGCATATCTGGCCAAGCCCCTAGATCTCATCACTGCAATCACAGGAAAAGAGAAAACTATTAAACCACCCCCAAGGATGCCACATGCATTTGCATACTCCAAATGCAAGACACAGAACACGCTATAGGACAATGTGACATTTATTCTTATACTATTTTAGGCGCTTTTCATTCTTATATTCTCATATTTCATTATTTAGACCCTTGTTATTCTCATATTTTATATTTTATAAACGACTTTTAATACATAATCTCCTGTGATCCTCACCATAAACTCTTGAATCTAGGCATTTTAAGTCTCATTATCCTCACCTTTTAGGCATTGTTACTAAGATTCAGAGGGACTAGTAGTTTTCCTAACATTGGTCAGGATATCAGGCAAGACCAGGCCTAGACCCCGCATCTCAAGTGCAATTCAGAGGCAGTGAGCATGGCTATACAAATACACAAAGCCTTGAATCCCAGTCCTGCTGCCTAGCAGGTGACCTTGGGAAGGTGACTTATCTGACGTGTGCCTTGATTTCCCCTCCTGCTGTATGGGCATTCTGCTAAACAACACTAAACACAGACTCAACTGTTGACCCTGTGCTAATTTTTGTCTCCTTTTAAAATTTGACGACTTGCCAAGAAAGGCCATCCTGTACTTCCCCATATAAATGTAGAGCAAAGCAAGGAAATTCTGCGGACTTTAATCAATGCCACCAGCAGTAATGGCCAGAGAGATGATAACAAGCAGAAAGCAAAGCTGTCTCATTGTCAGCTAACATTGAATGGCCTTGTTTCGTGGTCTTCTCTGAAGAGCCCTGGGCTTGGCTTGCTGTCCTGGTGTTGTATTCTGCTTTCTAAAGAGGCTGGATTCTGAAACAGCATCCCCCACCCCCAGGTGTAATTCACATAGTCATATTAATGAACTGCTATTCTCAGTACTTAAAGAAATCACAAAGTCACCCTTCTTTAATTTCAGGTCTTAATGGTAAAGGAACAAAGATATATTTTTCTATTTTATTGTTTCCAGAATTGGCAGGGAATATTTAATAATTTGTACGTGATATACCACAATCAGAATAACATTGCTACTTATCTTCTATCTCCAAAGGATGATCTGAAGTCTGTTGTTCACAATGAACCATGAGTAACTCTTTGAAATGTGCCTAATGAAAAACAACAGAAAAAAGGATTGTTTGAATATTTTTCACTTTATAATGTGTGCATTTTTTATTATTTGAAGTTTAGAGAGAAAGAGATTGACAGAGAAAATCTCTGGGTGAAAAGATCCACCACGCAGGTCCTTACTGAAATATCCAAAAGTGCAGAACCTGAAATTTTCAATGTGCAGGAGTTAAGATTTTCAACACTGGCACATTCTATTTCTTGGCTCTCAAGGGACATCCTATTAAAGCCTGGAAAATATGTCTGTGAAAAGAGGAAACATATTGTAGCCAGGTCTGTGCTCAGAAGTTGCTATATAATCAACCTTGAACTCTTCTCTTACATAACCACATGACCCAAAGAAAATTAGCCTTGAGGAGTCTCACAGATGATTGAAGCAGAGATTCCTATGTAGATTTTCTTATTCCTGAATTTTAGGTTGTGATATGTTGACTCACCCACAATAACTCCAGGGGCCTCATTTTCATAGGCACAGAGGGCCCTGTGGGTAAAAGCAGGTGGGGTCCCGAGGCTTCCCAACATGACAAAGTCAGAAGCAGATACATGGTGAGTGGTAGAGCTGCCTTTGCGGCTGAATCAGAGAGAAAAAAACGGTCCACCTCTGAGGACTAGGAAGGGGCTGAAAAGCTTTCCAGTTATGAGAAAGTATACACATACAAAAATAAAAGCAACAGGGAGGAAATAAAAGCATCACCATTCCTGTGAAAAACTGTATTTCTTATGTCTATGACCACCATGAATTCCTGCCCTTTCCCAAACAAATTTGCTGCCTTTCCCTTCAACGGTGAACACCCCTTTATTTATTTACTTGGAATCCATTCAGCTAACTATCTTAGTGTGTGCAGAGCACAGCCTGGTTCAGATCTTTAGTCTTTAATTCACACATATAGATACATCGCTTTTTCACTCATCTTCCATTTCCTCTTCTTAAAATATTGGTTAGATCTCTAATACACTTTTCAGTTCTAAAATGTTGTGATTGTTTCATCAGAATTGGCAACCTCAGCTGGGTGCAATGGCTCATGCCTGTAATCCCAGCACTTTGGGAGGCTGAGGCAGGCAGATGACTTGAGGTTAGGAGTTCAAGAGCAGCCTGGCCAACAGGGTGAAACCCTGATCTCTACTAAAAATACAAAAATTAGCTGGGCGTGGTGGTGGGTGCCTGTAATCCCACCTACCTGGGAGGCTGAGGCAGGAGAGTCACTTGAACCCAGGAGGCAGAGGTTGCAGTGAGCCAAGACGGAACCACTGCACTCCAGCCTGGGTGACAGAGTGAGACTCTGTCTCAAAAAAAGAATTGGCAACCTCAACAGTTATATTTCAGATGATAACAATGCCATGTTTTTATTTCCAAAAAATGGTGTTTATGCCTTAGAACTCACATAAGGATTTCCTGTGTTCTTTTACATGCAGCCTTAAGAGTGCTCTTGGGATGGCTGAAATTGCTACACATCAAATTGACCTTTGAAAACACAATTCATACTGTGATTCTGTGCATGAAAAAGAAACAAAATACCAAATAATATTTTTGCCCAATTCTCAAAGCTGATTCTTTTACCATGATCCAATTATAGAGAAAACTGCTTTCCAAAAGCAGTTTTCTCTATAATTCTTCCTTCTTTTTCCAAAGAAGATTCTAATCTTTCTGTCTACTTTTCCATGTATCAGTTTTTTCCCCTAGAGGGTAAGCTGTGCCTCTGTAAATGATGTGCTAGTTGTTCTTAAAGATTTGTTAGCATGTTAAAATCTCAAATTTAAGAATAAGAAAATCTACATAGGAATCTTTGCTTCACTCGTCTGTGAGTCCCCTCCAGGGAAAGTTTCACTGGGTCATTTAATAATGCAAAAGAAGAGTCTAAATTTGATTCTGCAGAAAACTTCTGATTCCAAACTGGCCTACAATATGGTTTTTCTTCTTGCATTCATATTTTCCAGGATTTAACACAATGCTACTTGGGAGGCAAGAAGGAAGATGTGCCAGTGTGGAAAATGTTATTCCCTGCATGTGTGTGCATTTTCCAATAAGATCCTTCAGGAATATGTATTTATAGAACATCTTCTTTGACAATAAAATCTTGATCATTTTACTTTAGCCCACCTACTTAGTACAAATGAGTCGAGATACCACATACTAAGCAGCTTAAAAACAAACAAACAAAGAATACTATTTATTAGTTGCATGGACCAAAGAAAAAGTCTTGAAACAATTATCAGAATATTCTGTAATGGGTTCCGCCATCCTTCACCCTTCAGGATGGATGTGGTTTTTAGCAAGAGAATTGTTCAAATATATTTTGTTTAGGACACAGAAAGCTGGGAGAAGAGGACAGGAGCTGAGAACACTGTCGAGTTGGGGCAGATGTAACATTAATCACCTGTTATAACTTCACCAGCTTTTGTCTACCAAAAGGCAGAACTATGTTTTCTCCGGATGCACTTTTTTAAGGTTGTTCTTTTCAGGAGTGTGGGAGAGTGGGCTTATTTTATCTTAAGATCTAGACAAAGGAAGTGAGATATAACTATTTTCGGCTCAGTTTCTTCATTTAAATTAGATCAAATAATTTTAATGACTTAGAAAAAGATTCCATTACCTGGGTAGAAAATACTCAAATGCTGTTATATTATCAGTCATGATTTTGATTAATGATTCATTACTATTAATATGTGAATAGTGGAATAGGTTTTTCTTTCCTTTTGTAGAGAAGGTAAAAATATGTAGAAATAAGTTACCAATATACTCCAAAATTTCTGTCACTTTATAAAATATCCCCATTCCAAGTTTAAACAATTACAAATACAACTGTAAGAAATCGCTATTGAACTAGAATGCAAAAAATATATAGAGTATGTAGGTGAGCAAATAAATTTTCATTTAGGGTTGAGATAGCAGCAGCTGTCTACGTGTTTTCTTGACAATCTATGTTCTTCCAACATCCAATTGTCAAACTTTGGTGCAATAAATGATTAAAGAAACTTATCACGGGCCAGTTGCCACTTACCTCCACGGTGTCCCCCTGTGCTCCCAGAATTGGAAGATTTCCTAATTCCTGAAAGTGAAAGGATGTGAACGATGCTCCTGCTCTCCCTGACCAGCACCTAGCGCTCTGAGACCTGTAAGATAGTGGCCGCCACGCTGCGCTGCTGGGACCGTGCTGTGCTCACCTGTCCACAGCTGCAAACCTTCTGTCCTTCCTTGTTGCTTCCCCAGATGCCCAGGTCTCTAGCGTCACTGCTGCCTCTTTATCTGCTCCCAGCTTTCTCCAGGTAGAGAATAAGGATTTTCTTTTTCTCTTGCTCTTTTTTTTTTTTTTTTTTTTTTTGAGATGGAGCTTTACTGTTTTTGCCCAGGCTGGAGTGCAGTGGCACGATCTCGGCTCACCTACACCTCCATCTCATGGGTTCAAGCAATTCTCCTGCCTCAGCCTCCTGAGTAGCTGGGATTATAGGCACGTGCCACCACACTCGGCTAAATTTGTATTTTTAGTAGGAACGGGGTTTCATTGGTCAGGCTGGTCTAGAACTCCTGACCTCAGGTGATCTCCCAAAGTGCTGAGATTATAGGCATGAGCCACTGCACCTGACTGAATAGAACTGTTTTCACTTACACAATTGATCTAAGATGTTTTCTCTGTCTGGTTCCAAATGTACCTGCAAATGAGACATATGAGATAAGCACTATCTTTTCCAGAGGTCGCTGATGTTATATTGGATGTTCTGTGATTACAAAACTCTTCAATCAAAGCCTTCATCACTGTAGTTAAGTCCAGAGCAGCCTGCCTGGGTTCCATGCATGCCTGAGCTAAGGCAGCCAAATAAGAAACACACACTTGGTTAACATTTTTAAATAGATGAAGGAGAAGGGAAGACAAGCCTTCTGCTTGCACATCACTACAGGAGAAAACCCAGACTCAACCACAGATTATTTTTAATTTTTTATAAGAACTGAATTGGACTCAGTGACATCAACAGGAGGTGTCTTGGGGAAAAGAAAATAAAAAGGAGAGAGAAAAATAAAGACAACACAAATAAATTAAAATAGAAAGCCAGGGAGTCCAAAGAGGAGGAGAAGAGGAGGGGACCAAGAAACAGGGAGAGAGATTCAGGGAGAAGAAAAAGGAAGTAACGTTTTGAGCAGCCTTGGAACTCTGTACATAACTTCAGGAAGTGATAGTTTGCAAAACCACGTCGCACCTGTTGTGTTGTACGTTTTATGCATAATTTGTTAACACTAAAACAATAAACACATTCAGCAGGCAGGATAGAATCAACATGGCAGTTTATTTTTGTCACTGTTCTCATGAACATCAGGGGACTTTTAAGAAGCATTTGATGGCATTGGTAACTTTATGATAATTCATGTCTGTTCTGCCCCTCACTGCCTTTCATCTTTCTGTTACTCTCTGATCTTCCTTATTCACCAAACCCAACCAAGGCATTCAGGCATATTATCTGCTTCCTGAAATACGTGGCTCAAGTGTTTGTTCCACAAGCAGCGGGATAGTAGCGCATCCACATGTGTCCTCTGAGAATGGGAAGTCATTCTGGAACACAGCTCTTCCCACGCTCCGGGCCCACACACCCAGCCCCACTCCGTAAAAGGAGCCCTGCTGCCTGCCCACCCACCCTGGGTGCTTTCTGGCTTGCAGTACAGTTGGCAGACATGAGGCAACGGTTGCTCCTGTCCTTTGCCAGCCTTCTCCTTGTTGCCCTGCTGTTTCCAGGTAAAATGGAAAGGTGACCCGGACCTGGGTGCCAGAATCTCACTGCAATGGTCATCTGGGGTATGGGAATCCAGGCTGGGCGGGAGAGACAAGGTCCTGGGAGCAGGTGTTCCTGGTGGAGCTTTGGGTACGAGTCTCTAAGCTGGGTTCGTAAGTGGCACTCTGAATCGAGTGATGGCACTTGCTTCCCAGGGGAGAGGGTCCTGCCCCCACTGCATTTTCTTATTCTTTTAACATTTCCCTTTCCCTTACAGAGAAGGATTATGTTTTAGGGAATCTCAACAACTGCATTAGTGACACTTGAAAGAAATTCTCTGGCTGCTTTTGCTTTGAGGTGCTCTATCTCACTGTTCATGGCACACATTTCTCACACGTCATTCACCCTTCCCTTTCTCTCTCTACGCACAGGTGCATACACATGTGCACAAATGTACACATACACACAGGACACCAGCACCCCTCCCAGCTCCCCCACCCAGTCACCCACACTCACTCACCTGGTAGAGTGTAGGCACCTCATGCTGACGGGTCTCCAGGAGGCGGCTTCGGAGCATCCTCTGCTGTGTGTTTCTACTTGCACAGGATCGTCCCAAGCCAGATATGCTGACCACTTAGCCACGGCAGCTCCCAGAGAACTCGGGGAAGGAGCCCCTGGGCAAGGCAGAAATGGGTCTCAGCTGTCACACCACCCAATGAAACGCGAACTCTTACCACCGCGCACCCCACCTTACCAAGGTGAGTCAGGGTCCAACATGTGTAACAAGTACATCCACTGGGAGATGCAGAGGGAACGAATAGATGGGAGGGTGTCTGTGCCGGTCTGGGTGGGTGAGCAGTCACGGGTTGGGGAAGACATGGTGTGGGTGCACTGGGCTGCCCTGCCTGGCAGGGAGGCCACGGGGTCTCACAGCTTCCCCTGGGGCTGCATCACTGAGGGCTTCGTGGAACCTGGGAGTACTGAGGGACCAAAGGATGATTATCTGAGGCCACGTCTGTAATTGCTGACTTCCTCCAAGCACAGGAGCCAGAGGAGACACTGGTGGAAACGTCCCCTCCTGCCAGGTAGCAGCTCTATGCCTTTACCTTTGGAGGTCGTTCCCCCCACAGGAACTTGCCTGCTAAGTGCCAGGCATCAAACGAGGTCCGGGAAATGCTTCCCAACACTGGGGGCAGAGAACACACTGTCCTGTCAGTCTACCCAGGCGAGGAGGCAGCAGGGAATGGCAAGGGACAGTTGAGCCCACAGCCACTCTTCTGGACTCTTCTAGAAGGGCTAGCCTTCTGGTCAGCCCCCAAGCCCCTGGGCAGGACCAGCTTCAAATCCAAAAGGGCCTGGAGGAGCCTGCACTTTCCAAGATGCTTCTTTAATCCCAAGCTCATTGCTGAACCTAAGACAGGGAGAACTAGGCTAGCAGCTCAGTGGGCAAGAACAAGACAGACAGGAGGCTGCTAGAAAACTGCTGTGACATCCAGCAAATGAAGTCCTGCTGAATTTGACTCCTGCAGCATCCTAGCCAACCTCCCATCCCCTTCTAATTGGCCCTCAGTTCCAAAGGACTCATTCATTTGGATCTCCTTCCAAGGAAAGGGAAAAAGGAAACTCACTTTTTGCACTACAGATATAAACAGGTGCAATAGGTGGATAACAGCATTCCCATGAGAAAGGATTATTACTTCCTTTGGTTAGAGGAGATTTAGCAGGGCAGAGCTATATATCTGGAGTTGATGTTTCAGTTTAGAACTCGAAGCTATTAACTATGGAAAGCTGTTTCATACCCATGCCACTCCCACCGTATGTCTTAGGGCTAAAACGACCACTGTTTGATTCTGGAGATGGTCTTAAGAAGCTAATGTTGGATTTTTTTTTTTTTTAATGCAGAACCTCCATCAGATTTAAAAGTTGTTGACTGCAAGAGAAGTGAAGGCTTCTGTCAAGAATACTGTAATTATATGGAAACACAAGTAGGCTACTGCTCTAAAAAGAAAGACGCCTGCTGTTTACATCAGAACTGATGTCGCTGACATAGAAGCAAAGCTCTGCCACTTACCTGTTCTTCTGGGCCATGATGTCCGGTCAGGTGCAGGTTTTTTGCAGAAGTGTCTGAGCAGCAGGGAGCGGAGGTATTGCCACTTGTGCTACAGTTCAAATGTTTTATTGCAGCAAAATAAATGTCAAAAATGCTACCCGTGATCTTACAGAAGATGACTTAGCTTGAGATGAACAGAATCTTCAAAATCACACAATTTGTGCTAGTAAATGTGGATATAATAAACTTTCATTGGAAGGAATTCAAATAATTCGTTCTTTTATTTAAAAAGTGTTTTTTGAGTACCTACTTCTATTCTAGGTACTGTGAAATGGAATATTCTGAGTACTGTGAAACGTAGTCAGGATGTTAGGTGTGTGGTCAAACCCATTCTCCATCAGCTCCATCAGCTCCTACATGAAGATTGGTTAAAAGCCCTGTTCTCCAGCCCCGGCTGAGAGAGTGTGCAGGCAAATGCCTTCTGGGAAGAGACTGGGAGCTGGGAGTTGCTGCCTGTTCTCTGTGGGCTAAACCTGAAGGAATACCCACTGGAAGTGCTCTCATGCCCCTTTAAAACTACCTATTTGTTCTCAGTGGCCTTAGAAGACTCACAAAATGCAGAGCCCCATCTGTGACCCGATGGTGCTATGCAGTTCCAGGCTTTTGGTGTCCTCAACAAAAGGGGTGTCACACACTTCTGCTGCTTGCTTTGCTAGTTGATGTGACACTCAACTAGCAAAGCAAGCAGCAGAAGTGTGTGAAACACAGCATTACACTCCGGAGAGGGGAGAGTGGGCTGACTTCTGCGAAATGAGATCAGCATTACTTTGGTGTACTTTGGGTCTTTTAATGTTGTTTTTTTTTTTCCTTCTACTGTTCCCAAGGCTGCCTAATCTTAAGCTGGTGTCTGGCTTTTGATTGATAGGTGTGTTGCTTACTTTAGCCTCTGCCGGCTTACATGTTGCCTCCAGCCCATAATTTTAAGTCTATACATGATATGCAGTCCATATGCATGAGCTTTAATGAGCTGATTGTCACACAGGGTCATGTTCAGGATACTTTTTCTCTTTAATGTGCATGCCTATCCCTGAAGAGCTGCCCTTTACTGGTTTGATCTGGATCTTGCTGGCCATGGGGTTCTTGTACTCTTATCTTTTTGTTTTGGCTGCTTAACTTCTGCCTCTTACCCTGCTCCTTGCTCACCCGCCCCTTCTCCTTGCTTCTGTTTCTGTTTTTATTCATTCTGCCCTTTATCCAACTTCCAATTCCCTCTGCATTTCTCCTGCCTTGTATTCACTTCCAGAGATCAGTGGTGTAGGAGCCAGTCCCTCAGGTGTCAGATTTAAAAGCATGCTTGATGTATTCTCCTTCTAGGGAGAAGGTGGAGACCTGGACATGTTGATGGAGCTAGCTGAGAGGAGCAGGCACAGTGCCTAACTACAGTCCTGTTCAGGCTCCCACAGGGTGAGCTCTTGCTCACCCTGTCCTTTTGGCTCCCAGATGCAGACTCGGAAGTCAACCCTCAGGCAGCAGATGGGAAAACTCCTTGTAGGTAGAAACCAGGAGGTGGCTATTTGCCTGCCTGCTCTGACCTGAGCCCCGGGAGACAGCAGCCGAAAGTGATTGCAAATCTGTGTCAAACCATCTTTTTGGTCTCTGTGGTTTAGGGAGACCTGCAGATGCCCAGCTCTACCAACCCCGAGCTGGGTAACAAACCCCTGGGTGGGAATCATAAAGACCAGGGTACTATGTGTAGTCCGAACCCTTCACTCCTCAGGGAGAAGCCAGGAGTTGGGAATTCTTACCAATTATAAGGTGCTATCCCTGGGATGGGGATTATGGTGGGAGCATGTTTCAGCTCTTCCCACATGTTATCAGCGAATATTTTCTCAGTTGCTTGATGTGTAGGAGTCTTTCAACTAGTCTTTGGCTGCCTCTCAGAAAGAACCGATCTGTGTATTGATATTTCTTTGGTATATCTGTGGAAGAAAGGAAAGGCTGAAGCCCCACCATCTTATAGATGTCAACCTGGCACATGCTTGATTACTGCATAGTTGAGCATTTTTTCATTGGTTTATTGAACATTTTTTTTCTCTTCTGTTAAATGTAATAGTTTTATTGGGTTGCTACCTTATTCTTATCCATGTATCTGTGTTCCTTCTATGTCTAACCTTATATTTTCTTTCCTATCAATTATCTTCCCTTTCTCTGGAATGCCTACCGCTTAAACCCCAGTTATCCTTGAAATAGCCTCTCTTTGTCTTTCAGTTATAATTCTCATGTTTTTCCTTTTACTCTCTACGTTGCGATATTTATTTTTATATCATCAGTTTTTCTTTCTGTAGAGTCCTTCTATTTTTTTTACTATTTTTGGATTTTCAAGTTTAGTTATCAGACTCTTATTTTTAAAGAGTCTTATATTTGCAAATAGTCTTTTTCTTTCTTGAAGTGTGACTTTCTCATGGGACCTAATTCTCATTTTGCTGACCATAGTTTCTCAAATCTCATTAGAAATAAGTACATATTGATATTTCTAAAAAATGCATTTTTCCATTGTAACAGCAGTTATTCCAGTTAAGTTCACTTTTACTTTTTTAAAGTGCTGACTTTACTTCTAATAGTTTCATGCTGACTGCTAACGTCTACTTTCTCATGCAGACCAGCTGTGGAGGGTTTCTGTGGTAGGGTAAGCAAGTGAGTGAGAGGTGGCAAAGAATGAATGGGGGTAGAATCTGCTGTTTGTCTTATAATTTTCTGTAGAGTATCTCTACTTAAAAGAAGTTTCATGGATATCTTTCATAAGTAAATAGTATTTGCCTAACCTGTCCATGAAATCTTTATAAGTGGTAATTATTTTAGGCTCAAGTTAACAAATAAATGCAAATATTGCTATGTATTATGTTGGTACAAAAGTAACTGCAGTTTTTGCCATTGAAAATAATGGTCAAATCCGCAATTACTTTGCCACCAGCTTAAATGTAAGTCTCTGAGTAACAATCAGCATCCCAGGGCCCAGCATAAGAAACATACTAGGTACACAGAGCCCTTTACAGAGTACCGCTTTTCCAGACTCTTTTTCCGAACAAAGATGTTCCTTAATCAACTTGCACACAAGCGCACGCACGTGGGGCTGACGCCCAGGGATAATGAAGGCACATGAAACTAGTACTTGCACACAAAACCAGAAGCACTGGTAATTTATATAACCTCTTTGCAAAACAATCTTAATATGTGTGTAAGACATAAAATACTTGTTCTCCTTGTTTCAGTTATTCTGCTCAGAAATTATACTGGGAAATAAAAACTATTTTGAGAAACCTAAAAAAATCTAAAATGTTCAAAATAGACCACTATATTAGCAAACTGTAATACATCTAGTCAGAGATATTACAAATTCCTTATAATAAATGTAACACAGTGAAAAACCATTTAAATGCCTAATATTTTCAAAATACTTACCTGTCCTAAAAATTATGATACCAATGTTCACATATTTGATGTAAAATTAACTGTGAAAAGTATGTTCAAAAACAGTACTGTAAAGTTTCCAATGTTAAAATTGTTGGTGATTTTTAGGTATTTGTACCTTTAAAATACCATCAAGTTATTGCATTACTCTTAAATTTTAAATGTACATTTGTAAGAACAAAATTAATGTGCCACATGTGTGTGTGTATATATATGTATACACACGTATACATATATACACACACACATATATGGCACATTAATGTTTATATACTATATATGTAATGTATATATACATGTATACATGTAATGTGTATATATAATGTATATACATGTAATTATATATATGCAATGTATATATATGTATATATGTGTACATATAATGTATATATACATATATATGTGTGTATATATATATACACACACACACACACATATACACACACACACACAAAGATATCACTTAGTCATAGAGAAAGACATTGTGTTGTAGACTTAAGTTCCACACAGAAACTCACATATTTCACATAAGAAAGCGTTTCCTGGCCATTAAGATAAGACTCCTTGTTTGTATAGTGGTGAATGAAAAAAAAAATAAAAATTTTTATCAAAAGATGATATGACATTAAAGCATGTGACCCAGGGAGATTTTGGAGCCTACCTGGGATTCATAAGGAATAGGTAAAAAGTGATTTTTTTCCTCTCATTCTTTGGTATTATAATATTTGCAGTGCTGGGTGGGAGGCAAGCGGAGGGAGAGCATGAGGACAAGTACCTAAGGCACGCAGGGCTTTAAACTTAGATGGCGGGTTAATGGGTGCAGCAAACCACCATGGCACATGTATACCTATGTAACAAACCTGCACGTTCTGCACATGTGTCCCAGAACTTAAAATAAAAATAAACATCATGGACATTAGAAAGAAATTTGCAGTCCTACTTGGAGACAACTGAATAAATATAATGGGTTCCCAAGGTCAGTTCTGAACCAGCAATCACATTAGTCATGCATTCTTTGTTCTTCTCACAGCAGCTTTTTAGTACAGGCCCCTGAGCACCGATGAGGTTTTATGGCCACCAGCTGTACCACAGTGGGAAGAGGTCCTCAGACAGGAGCTGTCTGGATGCTGTCTCAGAACCCACTGCCGCACACCTGACTGCTTTGCGTTCGGCTCTGCACGCCCACCTTCCGCCCTCAGTGTCCTTCCCTCCTCTGCACCCCTGCAGCTTTTCCTGAGATTTGATCCTTCTGACTCATCATTGCCCAGATTGTCCCTGTCATGGGGAAGCCTATCTCTTCTTCAGTGCCTGAGGTCTGTGGGGCAAGGGACAGGTGGGCAGGCTTAGTCAATTCTACCCCCATTGCACCTCATGTGACTTAAATAATGGCCACATCCAATCTTTTCTTCCTGTCCCTATGTGTCGTGGTCACCACAACCCTGCAGGCTTGGCCTGCTTTCACCTGGCTTATTCTTACCACTGTGGGTCGTGGGAAATGACCTCACTCCACCCAGGGAATCTTCCTTAGTAATAAAAACAAAATGGAATGTTAGTATGTCTTCATTAAGAGAGATTAAATTCATTAACACAAATCCTGCCTCTTTCTTGAAAGACCAAAAAGTAAAATAAAATCTCTGGAGCAAGAGGAATAA